GAGCAGGGAGCCCGATGCGGGGCTCGATCCCAGGACCCTGGGACCATGACCTGAGCTGAAGGCAGACGCTTAACGACTGAGCCACCCAGGCACCCAAGTCATTCTTTTATATTCCTCAAAATCATCACTTGTGGATCTTTATGCCAATGCACTCATCTTTGCCTACTTGAAACCTATGCATACAAGTGACTTTGTCTTGTGTGTTTGGCATTTAAGGTACTCCCGTGTGCTTGTCTGTGACTAAGAGTACATATCCTGCATGTGCCATTTCAGTGGTCATATGCCCCTCCATCATGTCACCGCACTGTGGTGTGTCACCCAAGGATCTAAATCTTAAGGCTGTAACAAAAGGCTGAAAACCGTTTCCAAGTGCAGAAAATATCCATGACATTTATTTTCTCCATTGCAATTCTGAGTCCCCGAAATTCTTAGCATCTTGCCAAAGAATAAACAGCACTTACGCCTCTCAGGCATCTAACAGAACTGACGATCTCTGATGTAGCTTTTAGGATAATAAATGGAATATAAAATAATAAACAAAACAAACATGGGGTTCTTATTTTTAAGTGGAAGGATTACAGTTGGCGCTGTGTTGGGGCCAGAAGTCTGCGGGATTAGGGAGCAGAGATGCCCGCGCAGTCATAAATTATAGAAGAGCATGTGGAAATGGTGTGGGAGAAAGCCAATTTGCTTGAACAGAAATTTCAAAATGTATGTTGGACTCCCAGGAGCAGACCAGTGCAGTGAAGAGGAGACAGCTGAACCTGGAGAGCCTGGGGCCCAGGCCACCACTGGAGGACAGCTGGTGGGACCACCATGGTGGAAGCTGATGAGTGGATGCCAACAAGTCTGCAGGAAAGAGGCCCAGGGAGGTGGGTGCAGTGGAGATCTTGTGGGCTCTGGGGAAAGGAGAGATTTCTGCCTGAAGCTGGCAAGGTGCTAAGACCCCCGGCTGGTGAAGCTGCCTGCTGTGGGCTCTGGGTGGCTGTGGAGGGGAGTGATGGTGTAGTCAAGTCTACATCTACTTGGACTTGAATCTGGGCTGCACTGAGTGGACAGCCACGGAACCTCTCCGTGGTCCACAGTAGGGCACCAAGAATGCCTCCCTCTAAGGCTTCTGTGAGGCAGGAAGGAGGTGATCTATGTAGGAGCTCGGTCCTGGGCCTCACTGAAGCTGCTTCTCCTGGAGTAAACCCCGTGCTTGCTCAGTGTCCCCCCAGCAGGGCTCTGTACCTGCAAGCAGACAACCCTTGAGAAAGCATTGTTCCCAGAGCGGAGAGCTCCTCCGCGCGATGTCACCCTTCCCACTCCTTTTTCTGGGACTCCGAACTCCTTCTGTCTCAGCGCTGACTCCCCACAATCTCTTCAGCTTTCAACAAATAAAATCACTGTTTATCCTAGAGCAACAGAGATTCAGTGGCAATGTCATATTAGACTTATTTTAATATATATATTATATATAATATAGTATATATGTTGGGGTGCCAACAATATATAATATATATAACATATATTATATATATTGGGTGGCTCAGTTGGTTAAGCATCTGACTCTTGATTTCGGCTCAGGTCATGATCTCAAGGTCCTGGGATCGAGCCCCATGTCAGGTTCTGCACTCAGCTCTCGCTCTCCCTTTGCCTCTCCCACCTCTGGCTCTCTCTCTGTCAAAGAAATAGATAATTCTTTTTTTAAATATATATATATATATATATATATATGGTGCTCACTTTGGCAGCATGTAGACTAAAACTGGAACGATACAGAGAAGATTAGGATGTCCCCTTGCACAAGGATGGCAGGCAAATTTGTGAAGCATTCCATATTTAGAAAAACAAAAATAAATAATATATATGGTTGCCCACTTTTTATTTTATAAGTAGGGACTTTTTAAAATTAATAGACTTTATTCTAGAATTGTTTTAGGTTGACAGAAGAGGAGAGTGGAAAGTACAGGGTGTCTGCTCCCCCTCTTTCCCTCCCCCCCCAGTTTCCTCTCTTGTTAACGTCGCACATTTGTGCAGTACGTTTATGACAGTGGATGAGCCAATACGATACATTATTATTAACAAAGCCCATAGTTCACATTAGGGCTCGCTTTCGGTGCTACACATTCTATGGGTTTGGACAAATTGTATATGACATGTATCCACCCTTATAGTACCACATAGAGTATTTTCACTGCCCTAAAACTCCCCTGTGCTCCCCATTATCCAACCATCCCTCTTTCCTGAGCCCTCGGCAACTGTGATCCTTCTGCTATCTCCATACGTTTGCCTTTTCCAGGATGTCATATGGTTGGAATCATATGGTGTGTATACGGCCAGTTCAGATTGGTGTCTCTCACTTAGCAATGTGCACTGAAGATTCCCCCCATGTCTTTTTAGTGCTGAATAATATTCCACTGTCTGGATGGACCACAGTTTATCCGTTCACCTTGTGAAGGACATCTTGGTTGCTTCAATGTTTGATGATTATGAATAAATCCATTTTAGACAACTGTGTGCAGGTTTTTGTGTGGTCATAAGTTTTCAACTCTTTTGCATAAATACCAAGGAACATCATTGCTGATTTGCATGGTAAGAGGATGTTTAGTTTTGTAAGAAACCGCCAAAGGAATGAGGAATTATTTGCCATCTGTATATCTTTGGAGAAAGAGATATTTGTTCAAATCCTTTGCCTATTTTTTTTAAGATTTTATTTATTTATTTGAGAGAGAGAATGAGATAGAGAGAGAGAGCACGAGAGGGGGGAGGGTCAGAGAGAGAGGCAGACTCCCCGATGAG